GTTGCAGATAGCCCGAGACGCTACCAGACGGCCCAAGCGAATGCCGACAGGGCAACCGACGACGGCCCAACAGGGCCCCAAAGGCAGACCAAGGGGGCTCCAAGAGGCCCCCCCACGGAGGGCCCCGAAAGGCCAAAATCCGCGATGTTCCACGAGTGTTTGGAGGGTTTCAGCGTCCTCGCCTTTTGGAGTCTCGCTGCCTCAAGACGGCCCCAGAGGCTCCCAACATCGCGCCAAGACGGCCAAAGAGGCCCCCAAGAGAGCTCCCAGACGGCCCAAGAAGGCTCCAAGACAGCCCAAGGGGGCCCCAAAATACCAGAAGCTGGCATGCAGACCGCCTTGCCGCCTTGCCTATTAGCAAAGGCTCTGGTCTGAATGGGTGACACGTCCAGGAGTTCTCCCTGCAAGTGCTCTGGACAGGCCGGCTACTGGGGGCATGCTCCGCGGTGCCTTTCAACCTCATCCCCCGGCCCACGCAGCCCGCGCGCATCCTCCGACCTCTTCGGGCGGCCACAGCCACCAGGGAACCCTGAGGCCCGTCCTCAAGAGGCTTCCGAGGGACGCAACCTCGGGAAGCTTCAGGACCGCGCCGGCCAGCAGGGAAAGTGAGGCCCCCACGCGCCTCGCACTTCCTCCCTTCCTTTGCATGGGCTCGGGTCTGAGCGCCACCTTCGACCTCCTCTGGCGGCCACAGCCACCATGGCACGTCGTCGGAGAATGAGGCCCATATATTCGTGTGTCTTTATTTAGTCGCTTCTCGCACTCCGCCGGCCCATTTCGCATCACTATGGCTGCGTTGTGGTGTGCTCGTGCCCAGAGGGAACAGTGTGGCAAGCAGGACTGTCCTCGAGGAGATCTTCGGAGATGTTGCTCGCACCCTGTCGAAGAGAGGCGATCGACTGCCCCAGAGGGCGCCAAGATGGCTCAAGAGAGCTCCAGCAGAGTTTCGAGACGTACCTGGGTTGTGGGTCAAAGTCCTCATGGATGCTCTTGGGGTCTCTTCGGAGGGCTCTTGGGAGCGTCTGGGAGCAGTTTGGAGGCCTCTGGGGAGCCTCTTAGGAGCTTCTTGGGGGCCTCTTGGGGCTTCCTGGGGGCCTGTTCGAGTTTTGGAAGCCTCTTTTGGGGCCTCTTGGGGGGCTCTCTGGGCCGCTGGGGGCTTCCTGGGCGCCTCTTGGGGCCGCGATCTCGGATCGGGTTCCGCCTCGGGACCCCTCTTGGGGCCATTCTGGGGCCGTCTTGGAGGCCTCTTGGACTGTCTTAGGGCCATCTTGGGCCATTTGGGGGCCCTCTTGGAGGCTTCGTGGGCCGTCTTCTTGCGATCTTAGGGCCTCTTGGGCCGCCCAGACGGTCGGCAGCTCGAAACGGCGGTGCCGCCGACATCGTCCGAAATCCGGAGCCAAATCAATGAGTTGTGCGTCTTCAGAGCCTCTCGAAGTCCTCTTGGAACCCTCGTGGGGCGTCTGGGGCGCTTCCTGGGCCGTCTTGGGACCAGCCTGGGCCGTCTTGAACGCTCTTGGCCTGCGGCCGTCGGGCGTGCTCACCCTTTTGGCGCCTTACTGGGAGCTCTCGGGGGGCCCCCGAGGCCGCGCCCAGGAGTTCGGGTACCTCGGCTCCGAACCTGCCAGGACCTTCGGCAGGGAATACCTCTGGACCCCCTAGGGGGGGGACTGCGGGATCCGCAGAGGGAAGCCTTCTGGGAGTCCTCCTGCGGAGTCCGTGCGAATTCGAAGGGGATCCTGGAGGCATCCCGAAGGAATCCTCTGGAGTCCCCAGGGGCTCCCCTGGAATCCGCGGGGAAACCTTGGGAATCCTCACGGAAGCCGTGCGAAGTCGAAGGGGAATCTTGAGGCATCCCGAAGGAATCCTCTGGAATCCCTTGGGGGCTCCTCTAGAATCCCGAAGGGATCTTTTGGAATCCCGTAGGAATCCCGAGCCAATCCTATGGAATCCCCTGGGGGCTCCTCTGCAACCCCGAAGGGATCCTCCTGGAAGGGCCGGGCCTTGCGGGGGGTACTTTTTCGTCCAAAATGCGCTTGTAGGGGGGCACGCCCGACCTAACTCTGGCCCGTTGGGCTGGCGAATCTTCAGCCCTTGCCCTAACACTGCCTCCAGGCGCCTCAAGATCAGCCTGGGGCCGCCCAAAGCGCCCCCCGTTGCCCCCCGGAGGCAGGCAGCAGCAGCACGCCGAAGAGGGTAAGCACTACCAGCAACACGCAACAACGGCATCAAGCAGCGACACGCAGCCCTGGAGGCCCTGGCTGCGTGAACGACTTCGTCCACGCAGCGGCGGAGCATGCGAGCACCTGCGCTTTTGCAGGCATCTCAGGCCATCTCTGGGCACCCTTAAGGCAATCAAGGCCTTTGTGCGAGTCCTCCAGGGCCATCTCGGAGCCATCGGGGGCCGCATCGGTCAGGGGCCGCATCGCGCCCTCTGGGGTTCCCTGGAGGCCCTGGCTGCGTGGACGATTTCGTCCACTCAGCGGCGGAGCATGCGAGATCCTGGAGGCATCTTGACCATCTCTGAGGCCCCTTGTGGCCATCCAGGTGGGGTTAACTCCGTCCACGACGCACGTCTAGGACGACAGTGAAAACGGTGGCGACTGCGACCGCGACCCCAACGTCATCCTGAAAGCCTGTCGGCATCATGTCCGCCAAGACCCCACCAGCGTCGCCGACGAGCTTTCGTGGTCGGTAGTCCACGGGTTCGCCCTATCTCTTCTGCAATGCCAGAACCAGCGCGTGCGAGAAAGGCGCATTGTGGCAGCTTGGCAAACAGACCAGCGGAGCCAGACCCTCCCACACTGGCCCCGAGCGCCTCAAGAAGGCCTCAGAAGTGGCTTCAGAGAGTGTGCATAGCAGGCCAAGAGAGGACCACAAGGCGCCACGAGAGTCCCCAGATAGATTGCTTCAGGTGGGCTTCGCGCGGCTTCGCCCCCGGAGGCCCCGACGATAACCCAGGAGAGGCCTGAGTTTGCCCAAAACGGCCCTGAGGGGACGCCAAGACGGCCCAAGATGGCCCTGAGCGAGGTCTGGGAGGCGACGCTGAAGCCCGACCGCATCCATATTCTGACACAGTGCGTGCTAGAGCAGGGTGCCTTGGGGCTGGGACGTCTGGGCCGGAGCCCGCCGAGAGGCCCCCAACGATGGGTCCAAGAGGTCCGGCGAGTCGGCACCAGGAGGGATTCAGCCCCAGGCTGCCTTGAGACGGCCCCGAGACGACCCAAAAAGGGGCCCCTGGCAGAGACCCCCCAAGCCAGTGTCGGACAGCCCCAAGTGGCCAAAGCTGCGAAGCTGCTCAGGGCAGCAGCCGGTGGCTCCAAGGTGCCCCCACGACGATCCAGAAGAGGCCTAGTAAGAAGGCCTCCCCATTTTTTCAGCCCCAAGACGACCACACGTATCGGAAACCTTATATTTGAAATGTCTCGGGCCTCCTCGTCTTGACAGCCCAAGACGGCCCTAATAATGATTGTGCCATTTGTTACCCCTGAGTTTCATCTACAAGAAAACCTTATCAGCTACGAAGCTGGACTCGGCGCGTGCGATAAGAGCGAGCGCGGCATGCACGTGCTATTAGCGACTTGGTAGCTGAGCGGTGTCTTTGTAGTTGAGCGGCATCTCTATGTCTACTTTGCCGGGCAAGCTTGTATGCGAATGTATCGCTTTAATTCTTCACGCTTCGCGTATCCCCACCAGCCCAGCTCAGAACAGCAACTCTTGCGAAGCATGCAGACAGTCGTGTTTTTCAGGTGTTTCCGCCTGGCCCCGCATATCTCCCCTCCTTCCTCCCGCCTCCTTGTACATCCTTGTGGTGGGAGTCGTTCGGGCCCCTCGTCCTGGTGTGAGTCATTCGGGCCCCTCCTCCAGGTGTGAGTCGTTCGGGCTCCTCGTGAGTCGTTCGGGCCCCTCCTCCTGGTGTGACTCGTTCGGGCTCCTCGTGGTGTGAGTCGTTCGGGGCCCTCGTCGTGGTGTGAGTCGTTCGGGCTCCTCGTGGTGTGAGTCGTTCGGGCGCCTCGTCCTGGTGTGAGTCGTTCGGGCCCCTCCTTCTGGTGTGAGTCGTTCGGGCTCTTCGTGGTGTGAGTCGTTCGGGCCCCTCGTCCTGGTGTGAGTCGTTCGGGCTCCTCGTGGCGTGAGGCGGTCGGGCACCTCGTCCCCTTTTGGGGCGTCTTGGGGGCCTCTTGGCGGCCCCAGGGCCTCTTGGGGGCATCTTGGGGGCCTCTTGGAGGCCTCTTGGGGGCCTCCTGGGGGTCTCTTGGGGCCATCTTGGGGCCTCTTGGTGCCTCCTGGGCGCTTCTTGGGGCCATCTTGGAGGAAATCGATCAAAGAAGAGGGGAGCTTTAATTAGCGCTGCCCCCTCAGAAGGCCAAAATGGGGCCAAAACCTTTGTAAAATCAATGATTTTGTCTTGAAAGAAGAGGGGAGCTTTAATTAGCGCTGCCCCCTCAGAAGGGCAAAATGGGGCCAAAACCGTAGTAAAAGCAATGATTTTGGCTTCAAAGAAGAGGAGAGGGTTTTTTCTGGGCCCCCCCGTCGGGGCCAGAATCCTCGTGAGGGGTGTCGTTTTTTAGCCCTCCCAGGAGTCAAAAAAAGACCCCTCCAACGACCCGCGAAAGGACCTCTCCAGGCCCAGGGGGAGGGGGTAGGGGGCGGGGTAAACCCCTCCCCGAAGGGGAAGAAGGGGGGTTGAGAACAGAGCGGGCTCTCTAAACCACTCACGCCCAAAGGGCTGGTGGGATTGTTAATCGTTGCCGTCATGTTGGGCCTTGGTTGGGTCCGACTGGACTCTGCATGATTCGCTATGTTTGCCGTGCCATGTAGCGGTCAACATTACTCTCTAAGATAATGAGCTGTACCACGCGCATGCGCTGCCATCCTCACTCTTGCATGCGAGTGCGATCCCGTGGACGGTTGTCCACGGGTCAGCCCTAGTCAGCTACAGTGCTGGGATCGCTGCGTGCGCGAAAGGCGATGAGTGGGAGCAGGCGGTAGCATTGCTCAGCGAGATGTGGGGTGCGAAGGTGGAGCCCAATGACATGAGCTACACTGCTGGCATGAGCGCTTGCAGGAACGGCTTGCAGTGGCAGCGCGCTCTGTCGCTGCTCGGCGAGATGAGGGCGGCGAAGCTGGTGCCCAACGCCCTGGCTCCCAAGAATGCCCCCCCCGTCACTCTCCGTCATCTTCCCTCCACCCCGCTCCCCTTCCCACTCCTCTGGGGAAACAAAAAGTGGCATAAGCAGAATTACGCCAACGAAGAACCCCAGTCAGTGGATGGTTTTCGCTGTGGAGATCGACCGGGAACCCAGTAGCCCGGGAACCCAGAACCCACCGAAGTCGGCCCCGAACCAATAACCGGGAACCTGGGAACCCGGAACCGGGAACCCGGGAACCCAGCCTGCTACCAAAATCGGCGGGATTTTTTCGCCAAATTTCTCATTTCGGCTAGGACCCCTTCAGGGCAAGCACTGATTGGGGTAAAATTTTGGACGCGCCAGGGGCGTCGCCGGAGGCGCCGCCGGGGGGCCTCAGCTCCGATCCGAGAAATCTGCGCGGACCTCCTAGTTTTTATGTTTGTGTCGCTTTTTGTTCTTCTATCCCCTCCCTCATTCGAGCAGGTCACCGGCCGCGCCCACCCCCCTGGAGTGTTTCTCCGAAGGGCTTAGGCGACCCGTCCTCCTCTTCCTCCTCCTCATCCTCCTCCACCACCTCCTCCTCCTCCTCGTCCTCCTCCTCCTCCGCCTCCTCCATCTCCTCCTCCCCCTCCTCTTCCTCCTCCGCCTCCTCCTCTTCCTCCGGTCGCCTACGGCCCCGAGAGAAACCGTGCACCCCCCCCCCAAGACAGCGCCATACCATTCCTGGCCTGGCCTGAGAATGTACCATGACGGGTCTCAGAGGCAGCCCGAGACGGCTCGCATAGGACCCTGAGATGACTCCAGGCAGGGCTCCGACCCGGCAAGACGGAAGGGGGCCCCAACATGTATTACCGGCTTGAAGCTTATTCTTACCCAACTGTTTGGCATCCCTTTACCTCGCTCCCGATGCTAAAGATTCTCTCAGTTTCTGAGGGCACATCCCTAAAGGTTGTCATCGCCTTGGGTTTGCCGATCTTGGGGATAGGAATTAATTCGAGGCTGCTCCATGCCGCCAGCAGTTCCGAAAGGGTCCCCGAACCTGTCCCGAACAGTCCAAACCGGTCGAACAACAGCACAACAGCTGTGCGTTTAGTATTGTTGACCTCCGAGCGCTTCTGATCGAAAACGGGGGAAGACGGTCCTTGACGGCCCGAACATGGAATCAAGGCCGCCTTAAAGCCCGCCCTATGGTATAGCCGCCAGCCTCTCCCAGGAGCCCCTCAAGAAAACTTAGCCATGAGGCCAACATCCTCCTCCTCCTCCTCCTCCTTCTCCTCCTATTCCTTCTCCTCCTCCTCATCCTCCTCCTCCTCCTCATCCTCCTCCTCCTCCTCCTTTCCTCCTCCTCCCTCCTCCTCCTCCTCCTCCTCCTCCTCCTCCTCCTCCTCCTCCTCCTCCTCCTCCTCCTCCTCCTCCCCCCCCTCCTCACAGCCCCTGGAGGGCCCCAGCGCTCGCCGAGACAGACTCGACACCTCGACGTGCCCTCGCTTTTTGTTCGTGCAGGCTGTCGTCAGGAGGCTGCTGATGTGTCTAGGCCCACCAGTCTTGCCAGACAAGATGTCCCCGGAGCTTGGACAGGGCTTGAACCTGCTCCGCCCTGATCGGCTCCCGCAGCATGCCAAGGGGATCCCGAGATGCCTGCGAGAGAGACCAGGCGCTCAGAAACATGTTTCACGCCCCATGTTTCCAGGTACCTTGCATTTCCAGCACAGGGCGGACCCAGGCGGGCCCAAGACAGCCACAGGGTGCCTCAATGTTCACCTCGTCGTCTGCCTTCCCTGGATTTCATCCACGGGTCATCGTAGTATCAGCTACAACGCTGGGGTAAGTGCGTGCGAGAAAAATGGGAAATGGCAACAGGCTCTGTCGTTGCTCAGCGAGATGCGGGAGGCGAAGTTCGAGCCCGACGTTATCTATTCTATTATGCCAGGAGACGCTCCAGACATATTACTGCTTCAAGGGGGCCTCGAGCGGCCCCGGAATTTCCCAAGCGATCCTCAACTGGACGTCTCGTAACGGGGGGGGCGATAAATGGGGGGCCGGCGAAGGCTGCAGAACAGGGCCCCTCTGGGCCCCTAGAAGGACCCTTCCAGGCCCCAAAGGAAGCCTCCAGGTTCCCCCCCCACCCTTGATCGCCCCCCCAATGAAGCGACGCCCAACCCAAGAGTGCCCCAGGAAGCTCCAAGACGGCACAGGAGCGCCGCAGAGTGCCCCCAGAAGCCTCCGAGGCGGCCCCCAGCGGGCCCCAGGAGGGCCCAGGCGACTCGGGGAGAGCCTCCAGGGAAAAAGCATCCGGCGGCCCCCTGGAGGACCCGACGGCAGCCTAGGCGAGGCCTGAGTTGGCCTGAGACGGCCCTGAGAAGACGTCAATTCATCGACTGGACGTAAGAGTGACCTTTCGCCAGAGTGACCTTTGGTGCGGGCACAGATGGGCCCCCAGATGGCTGAACGCGAAGCGGTAGCAGCGGCTAGCGCGCCTGGGTTTGACCTCTCCGCGGCCCCCCCAAAGCCGCGCACCAAAGGTCACTCTTACCCAGGTCACTCTTGCGTATAGCCGAACTCAGGCGATTGAGGGCGCGTAGATGAGCGACGGGTCCCGTTTCCACGGGAAATCGCGGATCTCCGCCACCGAGCGAGGCGGCAGCGGCCGCATTTTGGCGAGGGCGCCTCTCCCGATCCGTGGATCTGGCGACCGCGCGCCAGGTCCATGGATCGCTGATCCATGTTTGCGCGCCCCCGCTCAGCGCGTCCCAAGTAGGGCATGAGCGAGATGTGGGTGGCGAGGCTGGCGCCGCCGCAGCCCGGTTCCCATGCAGTGCGTGCGAGGAGAGGCCGTTCTGTAGGACTGGCCCCGCAGGGCGGCCGAGGAGTGGCAGCGAGTTGGCGAGGCGAGACTGGAGCCGCCACGTCCCTGTTCCGATGCAGTGCGCGTGGGAGGAGGGGCCGTTGTGTAGGGCTGGGGCGCTCGGGCCGGAGCGCCCGCCGGGAGGCCTCGCAGGACGGCCCAGGAGTGCCAGCGAGATGGCCTCGGGAAGGACCCATGAGAGCCCAGGAGACTGCTTTGAATTCTTCTCTCGTCCGGCGATAGCCCGGGTTGTCGGGCTTGCCCCCACCCCCCCCAGGATAACCGAACCTTGCCGGTTGTGCAGATCCGGGATGGGGGGGGCGCGGGCATACGCAGGGCTGCCCACAGCGCGAAAGTGAGGATACCGGCCGGCCCCCTCCTCCCCCCCGGGATAATTCAGGTTATCGCCGATGTTTTGTAATTCAAAGCGGTTTCTAAGCAGCGTCTCAGCGCGTGTTGTGGCGCGAGCAGTGTTGTTGTCTCTTATGTTTTGTTGCAGTATGGTTCGTTGTGTTAGCCGTGCCGTGTCGCGACCAACATTGCCCTCTCCGAAACTGAGGTGTTCCACGTGTGTGCTGCAATTTTCATCCTTTCATGCGAGTGCGAGCTCATGAACGGTAGTCCACCGGCCAGCCCTAGTCAGCTTCACCGCTGGGATCAGGGCGTGCAAGAAGGGCAGGCAGTGGCAGCAGGCTCTGTCACTGTTCAGCGAGATGCGGGAGGCAACCTTGGAGCCGAACGTCGCCAGCTACAGCGCTGGAGTTGGCGCGTGTGAGGAAGGCGGGCAGCGGCAGCAGGCTCTTTCGCTGCTCAGCGAAATCGGCATGTGAATGATGATGGGCCTGTTTTCCACCACCACCACCATCATAAGTTGGAGGGGGAGGGAAGAGGAGGAGGAGGATAAGGACGAGGAGGAGGAAGAGGAGGAGGAGGACCCCCTCCCACTCCAACTTATGGAGGTGCTGGTGGTGGTGGAAAACAGGCCCACCACATCAAAGGCACGACAGTGTGAGATACGGCGCTCCGAATTAGTGCGTGGCGGCGTGAGATACGGGCAGCGACGGGCGGGCGGTGGCAGCAGGCTCTGCCGAGGCCCAGCAGCCCAGCACCACTGCAGGCTGCGATATTTTCTCTGGCGGAGGAGGAGGAGGAGGAGGAGGAGGAGGGAGGAAGGAGGAGGAGGAGGAGGAGGAGAAAAGGAGGAGGAGGGAGGAGGGAGGAGGGAGGAGGGAGGGCGGAGGAGGAGGAGGAGCAGGAGGAGGGAAGAGGAGGAGGAGGAGGAGGAGGAGGAGGAGGAGGAGGAAGGACATACTCACCGAGGAATGCGTAAAAGACGGCGCACTTGTGCTTATCGGCAGGCCAGCGCTCAGTACGGCTGCCCCCCGCGAGGAATTCTCGACTGCACGTAGGAGCGTGGCCTCTCGCCAGAGTGACTTTTGGTGCGGGCCTTACTGTCAAGTCGGGCCTGTCCCCCTGCTGAAGGAATATCCCACACTTGTGAAAAGATAGTCTGGCGACGCCTTGTTGGGCATGTTTGACAGTTCTTTTGAGCACGTGTTGACTATGTTTCTACTTCTCGTCCAAAATCCGCCTATAGGGGGACACGCCCGCCCTAGCCCTGCGGGGCCCCCCGATCGCGGAACGCGAAGCGGCACGCTGCGGCAGCAGCTGCGTGCGCGCCTGGGTTTCGGCCGCCCCGCGTCCCCCAGTGAAGTCGCGCACCACAGGCCCCTCTCCCTCCTCTTCCTGCTCCTCCTCTCCCTCCTCCTCCTTCTCCCCCTCCTCCTCCTCCTCCTCCTCCTCTTCCTCCTCCTCCTCCTACTCCTCCTCCTCCTCCTCCTCCTCCTCCTCCTCCTCCTCCTCCTCCTCCTCCTCTCCTCCCCCTTCCCCTTCCCCTCCTCCTTCTCCTCCTCCTCCTCCTCCTCCTCCTCCTCCTCCTCTCCTCCCCCTCCTCCTCCTCCCTCCCCTCCTCCTCCTCCTCCTCCTCCTCTCCTCCTCCATCTCCTCCTCCTCCTCCTCCTCCTCCTCCTCCTCCTGCTCCTCCTCGTCCTCCTCCTCCTCCTCGTCCTCGTCCTCCTCCTCCTCCTCCTCCTCCTCCTCCTCCTCCTGCTCCTCCTCCTCCTCCTCCTCCTCCTCCTCCTCCTCCTCCTCCTCCCCCTCCTCCCTCCTTCCCGGGGTACAACAGAGCGGATGCAGGTCCAGAGAGACAGGGGATGGAGATCAAGCTGCGCGTCATATTGCATAAAGTGGAGGGCCCATGCCAAGAAACACCCTGCTTGCCTCCAGGGTGCCCTGTGTCTCTTGGGCTTCGATAACTTTGCGATGGGGAGCGTAACCTTTCCGCGGCAAATATCCATTGACGTCCTGGGGTCTCAGGGTTGGGTTCCTTGTGGAAGTTGTCTTGTGGACTGGCCCCCGCTACACGTGTAGCCGAAAGTCGCGCAGCTCGAGCCCGTGCCATCGGCTGAAAAACGCTGGGGCAGCCGCTCGCCGGCGAGGATCGCAAAAGGTGGCAGAGCAGGGCACTTGCCCTCCTCTGCAGAGCCTGGCGCCTGCGGGCCGCGTCTGAGCGGGGGCCCCCAAACGGTGTGGGGACCACCCCGTGCGGTGAGTCGGTGGGGCTTCGGGGTCCCCGAACGGTGTCGGGACTCGAGACCCTGTCTGAGGACGTCTCGGGCGACAGGGGCCTCCGGGATCCCAAAGTCCGTGCGCTGGCGGACCGTGCGGTGAGGCCCTGGGGGATGCCGAGGTCACCGCACGGGCCGTCGCCGCAGCGCCTCGTGACTCCAAGCAGTTTGAGTGGGGCGCGGGCTCCCCCGTCTGCCCGGAGAGCTGAAGCCAGCGCTGGGGTCGGCGCACCCGGATAGTGGAGGAAGAAAGCACGGCATCAACAGAAACCGCTCCTCCTCCTCCTCCTCCTCCTCCTCCTCCTCCTCCTACTCCTCTTCATCTTCCGCCTCCTTCTCCTCCTCCCCCTCTCCCTCCTCCTCCTCCTCCTCCTTCTCCTCCTCCTCCGCCTCCTCCTCCTCCTCCTCCTCTTCCGCCTCCTCCTCGGACGTCGAAGGGGGAGCAAGAACGGCACGGACATACAATTTTCTGGCGCTCCGCGCGGACTTCTTGGATCCCGGCTGGGTCTCCCCCACAGGAAACTAGATTTATGCGCAGCGCGGGGGCTGGCGCGTCTGGAAGAGCGAAGAGGGGACACATCGGCACGCATCAGAGGCCCCTGCCAAGAGACAGTCCGCTTGCCTCCAGGCTGCCCTGGTTCTTGGTGTTCGATGGTTTCGCTTGGGTTTCTTGGGTTTCCGATGGTTTCGCGATGGACAGCTTGGGTTTCTTGGGTTTCCGATGGTTTTTGCCCTGGTTTCTTGGTTCTTGCCTCCAGTCGGCTTGCCTGGGCTTCTTGGGTTTCGATGGTTTCGCGATGGACGTCGCGGCGTTCCCACACCAAAGATCCATCGACGCCCTGGGGCCTCAGGGTCGGTTTTCTTGTGGGAGGCTTCCTGTGGACTGGCCTCCACTGCAACACGCAAACTTTTGGCTCTCCGCGCCGACTGTTCTCGGATCCGCGCTGGGCCCCCGGTGCGTTCCGCGCGCCAGGGAGGGGGGCCCAGGATCCAAGACATCATCTGCGCGGACCTCCAATCCTTCTCCTCCTCCTCCTCCTCCTCCTCCTCCTCCTCCTCCTTCTCCAACATTGATGTTTATGCCGTTGTTTGTTCTGCAGAAAACACAGCCTGGTGATGGTGTCGCTCTCCCAAAACAGCTGGGGAGGTCCAGCCAACCGGACCTCCTCGAGACGTGCTATTCTGAGGTCGGGCCTGTCTTTCCACAGGAGGAGACTTCAAAAGTAGTCAAACAATAGTCTGGGGACGATGTTTTGACTATTCTAGAGCATTTTGGGGGTATTTCTCGAATATGCTTAAGTTTTCGCCCCAAAGCCGCCTGTAGGGGGACACGCCCGACCTGAGAGTCGTGGTACAAATCACGACGGAGGATTGGGGCCATTTTCGGCCGGCCTCTGGGGGGTCCCTGACAGGGCCCCTGGACAGTCAAGAACCGACCCAGGCTGAAACATCGGCCCTGGGGAATGGAATAACTCCTGACGCCGGGGGTCCACGCTGCGACAACACGCATGACGTCGGGGGCAGTGGCAGCGCGCCGCCCCCGGCGCACCCGGCGGAAGGCGGCAGGCGGCAGGGGGACCGGCGCAGGGCGGCGGCAGTCCATCTGCGGCGGAAGTCAAACTCGGGCGATCGCAAGCATGGATTACAGGGGCGTGTTTTAGCAAACACGGATTAAGGGGGCGTGGGGGCTTCCGAAGGCAAGCCGACAGGTGCCGCAAGCGAGGGCACCAGAGAGAGCCGAGAAGTGTGCTGACGAAGCGCTTTGCGTTGGTAGAGAAAAAGCTTTGGCTAAGCAGGGCCTGAGGAGGAGGGGAGCGTCCCGGTTCCATTGGAAATCGCGGATCTCCGCCGCCGAGCGAGGCGGCACCGGCCGCATTTTGGGGAGGGCACCCCCCCCGATTCATGGAGTGGGCGGCCGCGCGCCACGATCCATGGCTCGCGGACCCATGTCTTCGCGCGCCCCCGACAGACGGCGGAGGGTGGCCGCAGGCGGCGGGATTGGTCACGTCAAAATTTTAGGGTTCAGGGGTTCTGGAGTCGGTCAGGAGCCGGGTGACGGCTGGCAAATCCGTGGCTGCTAAATCGGAGCTCCGGGAAGCAGCCCGTTTGTTCGTTATAGTGCACCGAGCTTGACTCCGGGAGTCTGTCTTTTCCCTTCCAGGAAGACCGTTTTGGCAGCCACAGAGTTGCCAGCCTCTCCCAAGCTGTCCAGTCTTACCAGCCTGGAACATCTCCCTATCCCTGGGCACCTCCTCATTACGATGCCAATCTTAGGAATCCCCTTATTTTTTGCGGGCGGATCCTTAAGATTGTCATCGCCTTTTGGCGTGTCATTCTTAGGGATAGGGATGCGTTCGAGGCTGGTAACAGCTGTCCAGTCGGCCACGGTGCGGCTCGAGCTGCTGCCGCGGCACAGGGAGGCTCTCGGCTCCATCGCTGCCCGGCTGGCGCGGCACGCGGCCGGGCGCTGGCGCGGGCGCGGCGCGGGCCGTGCGCGGCACGCAGGGGCACGTTGTGAGTCGGGCGTGTGCCTCTACAGGAGGAGAATTCAAGAATTGGTACAAAAATGTTGGATATGAGCACTTCTTGGATATGTTTGGTTATTTTTTGAGCACTTCTTGGGACGATTTTTTGAGCACTTCTTGGATATGTTTGGTTATGTTTTGCGTGTTTTTAATGTTTCGTTCAAAATCCTCCTGTAGGGGGACATGCCCGACCTAAAACGTGCCCTTGGGTGCCGCGCACCGGGCGCGCGCCGCCACTCGCAGAGTGCCTACTCGCAAACGTCCGGAAAGCACGCGTCCGCTTTGATGTCATCCACCGGGTCCACCGAGGATCCCCCGCGGGGAGTCCGGGGCATCTGCGAGCATAGTTATTTGGCGAGCAGTGGAGCGCGCTCGTCGATCTCCAGAGAAGAAACTGAAACCGCATGAACATCAAGCTCGTGGCGCTCCGCGCGGGCTGCTCTTGGACCCGCGCCTGGGCCCCCCCTGGCGGCGCCTCCCGCGCCGCTCCCGGCGCGCTCCGCGCGCCAGGGAGGGAGCTCCGGTGGCGGATCCAAGAAGTCCGCGCGGAGCGCCAGAAGTTTACGTCTGTGCCGTTCTTGCTCCCCCTTCGACGTCCGAGGAGGAGGCGGAGGAGGAGGAGGAGGAGGAGGAGGAGGAGGAGGAGGAGGAGGAGGAGGAGGAGGAGGAGGGAGAGGG